AGATCAAGAGCCGTATGAAGCTCATGTATCGAAAAGGTTTCATTGTAATCTTCCCCATTATCTGAATTGAAATTAATAGATTTCTTTTCTTGCTGTTTTTGATATTTTTGGAATTCAGGTACATAATTAGATGAGGAAGAATGTTTGGCCAACGTCTCACCAAGTTTATTTGCAATATCTGATGTATTAGCCAATAACTGGTTCCCATATTTTAGATGGTGAATGCTAGATTTAGAGCCCTTACCTTTGATTTTCTGGATCATGTTCCATACCTTTGATTTCGGCGTGCGCGAATTGAATTTTGATACATAGTTTACTTTGCTTGAAAGTACGCCGTGCTTTAGCGTTTATAATTGTACATTTGTTTAGATTGTGGACCATAGGATGGCAGAAGGAAATAATGCTCAGCTTTCTTCCGTGCTTTCCTAGCGGCTGTGTTTGCATTCATCGTTGAACCATGGTTTTCGTACGTGAGGAATTGCAGAGGACTTGGGATACACTCGTCAGCTATGTTATTTAGTGCATCTGAAAAACGTTTTATAGCATCATAAATGTCATTAAATAGTTCAGGTTTAAGTTTGACAGCACATAGAGCTTCATATAAAGGCCAGTTAGCCTTTTGAAAATTCGATCTTGATGATGGAGGAACATCAGATGGATTCACGGGTTTTAGTATTGTTGGAAAATGGCCACTTCCACAGATGTCGTCGTGAACTGACCATTCGAATTCACTCAGAAGATTTGAATCTGAAACTGATAAATCAAGAACTAAATATGTTCCTGTGCCAGGGTGTAAATATGTCTTGGACCCATCATTATACATGCATATGTATATGCATAAATCATTATCTGAACAGAACTCCTCCAGTATTTTACCTTTAGGGTTTAGATTTGTACCACCTCAGAGTGGGTTGTGGCCATTTTTATCCCCCATAATAATGCAGGGTTTTGGCAGTTGTTCATATAGATTTTGAAGGTCGGTCTTCTGTAGGGTTGAAGATGGTGAGATATACAGAGAGCATAATGTGAATGCAAGGTGTAAAGTAAATCGCACGGCAATAGCCTGGAGATAGTATTAATCATAACAAAGCTATGGATAACAGTCTGTTTGATAAGGATCGAAGATCCTCCAGTGGTCCTATCACCTGGAGGGGAAAAGAAATGATATGCATTAAAATGACGTAGTTCACAAGTATTAGTCTGCTTTAAATATGTCTCCTGCACACAGATTGCTGACGGTGTAAAAACTTGGACTAATAGTTGCAATTCATTGTAATTATTCCTTAGTCCTCTGCAAATCCACTGTATGATATTATTCTGATAACCTATCTTTTGGGGTGATTTATGGGGATCTACCCCGCACTTTTTTGGTGGGCGACAATCTGTGTGCCCTAGAGCGGACGTTTTCGGACACGTCCATGTCCTCAAGTGATCCATATTTGTTGTACAAGTTAATTCTATTTTCTGACCCTTTTGGGGCTCTGCCACTTAGTTTTTCAAAGAAAATCTGCTTTTTACTTTTACTCAATTGTTTTGAGAGGATGACTCAAAATCAGAGGAGGCTACTGATTGGATTTGAGATGTGCAGATTTTAACCCAAGTCAAGTTAGTTTGACAGCTTGCAGAAGATGTTGTTATTCTTCTTGTTGCTTCCGATGGTGTTTTGGTTATGGAAGCACCAAGGAGTATCACAAAGACAATGCTAAAAACAAGTTGATTTCCGACTTGCAGCACCAAAAATACCCGGATGATATACTCCACCAGAAAAAACAAAAATATTAATTCTTCCACCAGATTGGCCCATGAACCACCGCCTTCTGGGCATGAAGACTCTAGACAAATTTCTCAACATCATATTTCAAAATCAAATTTAGATGAACAAGTGGGCCAAGACCAAAATTAAAACATTTCGAAATCAAATTTGTGCAATTATATATATATAATCCATGCACAGGGCTTGGTGTGACCAGCGGATTGATTGAACCAAGCCCATTCAACCTCCCGTCTAGGTGGAGTAAGGGGCGAAGGGGTGTGTTGGGCAAAGGAACACTGTACCTGGAACCAGTGCCATCAACCACCAGACTCGCTTCCTCCACCGACACAGGGGCGCAACCCACGGCAAACGGGTTGCCCAAGACCAGCAATGGGATGCTGTGGACCTATATACCCCCGGGTCCACACGGGTGCGAAGAGCTCTTAGCGTTACCCAGCACACCACGAGGAAGTGGCTCTTTACGGGTGCCCATTCACATTGTACATGCTTCTCCATAAAAATCATCACCCACCCCACCCTCACTCCACCCCCAAGCCATAAATTTTGAACGGTCCCTAACCTGAAATGAAAAATGAATTATTGTACATCACAATGTTACAGCCCTGCTGCCCAGTAACATGGACTGAAAGTCAAGTGGTCAAAAGTACAGCTTTAAAGAATAATTTGTAGAATGAAGACTAATATTATTTCCTATTTTTTTCCACCATAAATACTGACATGTGTTAATGAGAGCAACAACAGCGTCAGTTTGGAATCATTTTTGACCTCATATGCAAATGATATCACTAAAAATGTGGAATAGTCAGTTCAAGAACATACAATACCAGCAAGATCCCTCACGGCTGACAATATGATTTACGGTACAGTTGTTGCTGTAACATTCCTTCTCTGGTAAGAGCTGTGTAAAGTGACAGCTTGTGACATCAAGCATGCCAGCAATCTTTCAGCTGCACCTATTGTGGTTAAAAGGGGTTTCAAGAGCATTGCTCTTATAAAAGGGTAAGCAAGTCTGTGTAACAGCTTTTCTTAGTCCAGACTATTGTGCTTTGAGCTTGTCCCTCAGTGATGTGGAACTAGCGCTATATGAATAGCAGTATTCTTATTATGCCAGTTTTAAACTATTAGCCGACTGAGATATTTCCTGCCGCAGGTTAAGATGGGTACTGGACTACTGGTACTCTGAGTACTGAGTGGGTACTCAGTGTACAAAACAATCAATCCCCGTTTTATCCCCTTGAAGCCTACTGCCATGCAGGGTAACAAAAAGTGCCCACTTATAACATTTTTAATACGAGGCCAGGGTATTACACAATGTACTGTCCACTAGCCCACACTGGCAGCATACAACGGTTGACAATGCGTCTATTGCTACCATTCTAAGTATGCTAAATTCAATGTGGAGTTCATATTTTGTTAGTCTGTGTATAGAGCCACAGCTATTGCATGTCACACGGAGTCTTGAGTTATAGCTCGTGTATGTCTGGCCAGAGCTACAGCTGTTTTAAATCTGATACACTGAATCTAGAGCAACAATTGTTTTGAGTGAGTGAGTGAGTTGTGTTTTACGCAGCTTTGAACAACATTCCAGCAATATCACGGTGGGGGGACACCAGAAATGGGTTTCACATATTGCAACCATGTGGAGAATCGAACCTGGGCCTTCGGAGCGTCGAGCCACATGGGCACAATGTGTTAAGCCCATTTCTGGTGTCCCCCGCCGTGATATTGCTGGAATATTGCTAAAAGCGGCGTAAAACTAAACTCAGTCAGTCAGTCGGAGCGTCGAGCGACCGCTTTCACCAATAGACTACCCCTCCGCCCCAAAATTGTATTGATTCCGATACACTGAATCTAGAGCTACAACTACTTTGACTGATACACTGAATCTAGAGCTAAGACTGTCTTGACTGATACACTGAATCTAGAGCTACAACTGTTTTGACTGATACACTGAATCTAGAGCTACAACTGTTTTGACTGATACACTGAATCTAGAGCTAAGACCGTCTTGACTGATACACTGAATCTAGAACTACAACTGTTTTGACTGATGCACTGAATCTAGAGCTACAACTACTTTGACTGATACACTGAATCTAGAGCTAAGACTGTCTTGACTGATACACTGAATCTAGAACTACAACTACTTTGACTGATACACTGAATCTAGAGCTACAACTACTTTGACTGATACACTGAATCTAGAGCTACAACTACAATTGACTGATACACTGAATCTAGAGCTACAACTACTTTGACTGATACACTGAATCTAGAGCTACAACTACTTTGACTGATACACTGAATCTAGAGCTACAACTACTTTGACTGATACACTGAATCTAGAGCTACAACTGTTTTGACTGGTACACTGAATCTAGAGCTACAACTGTTATGACTGATACACTGAATCTAGAGCTACGACTGTTTTAACTGATACACTGAAACTACAGCTACAACTACTTTAACTGATACACTGAATCTAGAGCTAAGACTGTCTTGACTGATACACTGAATCTAGAGCTACAACTACTTTGACTGATACACTGAATCTAGAGCTACAACTGTTTTGACTGATACACTGAATCTAGAGCTACAACTGTTTTGACTGATACACTGAATCTAGAGCTACAACTGTTTTGACTGATACACTGAATCTAGAGCTACAACTACTTTTGATACACTGAATCTAGAGCTACAACTGTTTTGACTGAATCTAGAGCTATACTTTGACTGATACTTGACTGATACACTGAATCTAGAATCTAGAGCTACAACTGTTTTGATTCTGATACACTGAATCTAGAGCTACAACTGTTTTGACTGATACACTGAATCTAGAGCTACAACTGTTTTGACTGATACACTGAATCTAGAGCTACAACTGTTTTGACTGATACACTGAATCTAGAGCTACAACTGCACTTGACTGATACACTGAATCTAGAGCTACAACTGTTTTGACTGATACACTGAATGTAGAGCTACAACTATTTTGACTGATACACTGAATCTAGAGCTACAACCAACTGTTTTGACTGATACACTGAATCTAGAGCTACAACAGTTTTGAAAAAAACTGTTGTATTCAATCCAGAGCTACAACTATTTTAAGCCTATATTATATTGAGTCCAGAGCTACAACAGTTTAAGAACACTCTGTGACCTTGTTCTTGTCATGCACTAACCCTTGGAAACCATTAGCCATAAAGAACACAAGTAACTCTGTTATATAAAAATATTTTATTTTTTTATTTTCATAAGAATGAAGGAATTAAACAAGTGTACAAAAATCTGATTAATGTGTTGACAATGGAGCAGGTCAATGTCACTCAGTCCCTGGAGCCGAAGCCAAAGACAAGCTCTCATCTTTCTCTACCATAATTCTGTTATAACATATAAACCACTACATAATTGGAAACATTTTGAAATCAAATGTTCTATCTAGCTTTTGCATTCAACCTCTTTGAAATGTGCAATTGATAAATTCAATAAAATATTTCCTTAAAGTTTCCTTATGAAACTAAGCAATAAATTTTCAAAGGTTATAGATATAATTGTAAGATCACACTTTACACTGACTACATATGTTAATAATGCAGAGGTAGGGCTCCACATTCAAAACACACCTCACACATCAACATTCACACAAAAATTACCTCCTACTATTTCAAAAACAGAAAAGAACACCTAGAAAAGGAAGACTAATTTTTAACCCATACTTTAAATGTACTATTGTTCTTGAGCCTAATTACATTTCTCATTTCTTCTACTTCAAAAAGTATTCTGAAGAGTCAGTATACTAAGAACTGAACACAACTCTGTTTGTAGAATTTCTCATTAATCTTACACTTGACAAGCCTTCATGATCTGGTGGTGAAAGCACAGTGAGAGACATGAACATGAAGCGACAGTTACAGTCCTGAGAGTGTTCGATTCAGTGGACGTGATGCACAAGCAGCAACATCAGCTGGTGATGTGGACTGAGGCAAGCAAGGGAAATGGCAGGTTACCACTGTGTGGGATTATGTATGAAAACATAAGTTTTACATCAGTGACCAGTAGTTTCTACCTTGAATATCCCGTCAGCTATAGGTTCAGCCAAGCATTGTCATCAACACCAGCAGAGTCAACACCATGAACATGATTTAGTATGCTGCCATGTTTCCATAAGAAAAGATCCAAAGTCACAGATAAAATGGCAGCAAAACGTTGCCCATTTGAGAGTGTGATGCCCCTGATTTGGAACTATCTCCCTAGAAGGTGTTGTTTATCCCAGAATTCCCAAGTCAGATATCATAAACAATGAAGCTAGTCTATTGGTTGCAGACACCATAGCCAAGTGTTAATTGAAGTAGTATCAAACTGAACACTGCATAAGGGAGGTGTTCCTTCTGATCAAACTACACACTGGATTGGTAAAGAGATGGGACTTCACAACACTGTCATAAGTTTGTCAGCTGTCTTGTGGGGTATTTTACCAAGGTCTTGTGCAAGACTATCTCACCTTACAAGCTCTCACATGACATTCCATCTGTATATAATCTGACATATAGAACTGACTTCAGATCCAGGAAGCAACTTCCACAGAGTAACACAACACATTAGTTCATCTTGGGAGTCAGTACAACCTGAAGTGCAGCAACAGAAGACGTCAGTTACCACACAATCTGGAACTCAACATGGATGACAACTCCTAAGAGCATCATTGTATGAAAACAAAGTGAAGTAAAAATTCATAATGTCTGGCACTGCTGAAGAAATGCTTAAACAGACACAACCTGTTACCTGCATTAATACACATACACTCACTTGTGATAAACACACACACACACACCTGTGATAGACATATACCTGTGAATCACACACACATTATAACATCACCTGGATATACAAGATGAGAGGAACAATAAACATGTTATGACAACCAATACACAATATGTCAGGTTATAATTTACATCATACTGCTTACGACATAAATTCAAATCTACAGTAATTACTGATTTCTACTGCAAAGATTCTACTTCCTAATTATTGAAGAGGGACGTGCTTCACAGTGAGGCCCAGTCAGGGTTTGATTACATCATTAATGATCATGTGAAGAAACGAATGTGAAACAATGCAACCCTGGTAGTCAGGGTGGGAAACTGCAAGACTAATGTACAACATCATAACACTGGAATTAGCACTGGTGGAAGATTGTCCCCACCCCTACCACCAGGACCCTATCCAAACTACTGGGACCCCACCCCTACTACCATGAATCAGCCTTACTACCATGATCTACTACTACTATGATGAACTCCAGGATCCAACCCCTACTACCATGATCCAACCCCTACTACTACTATGATCCCGCCCCTACTACCATGAATCCCCTACTACCATGATCCAACTCCCTACTACTATGATCCCACCCTACCATGATCCCACCCCTACTACCATGATCCAACCCCTACTACCACGATCCCACCCTACCATGATCTAACCCCTACTACCAGGACTCCATCCCTACTACCAGGATCCTGCCCCTACTGCCAGGATTCCTTCCTCTACTACCAGGATCCAACCCCTACTACTACTACTATCCCATGATCCAACCCCTACTACCAGGACTCCATCCCTACTACCAGGATCCCGCCCCTACTGCCAGGATTCCACCCCTACTACCAGGATCCCCCCTACTACCCCATGAATCTACTACTACCATGACTCCATCCCCTACTACTATGATCCTGCCCCTACCAGGATCCAACCCCTACTACTAGGATGATCCAACCCTACTACCAGGATCCCACCCCTACTACCAGGATCCCACCCCTACTACCAGGATCCCGCCCCTACTACCAGGATCCCACCCCTACTACTACCAGCCAGGATCCCGATCTACCAGGATCCCCCCCTACTGCCAGGATCCCGCCATACTCCAGGATTCCGCCTCTACTACCAGGATCCCCCTACCCATGATCCAACCCTTACTACCATGATCCTGCCCCCTACCCAGGACCCCACTACCACAACCCCCACTACCAAGACTACTACCACAACCCTGCTCTACTACCGGTCCTGACCCACTACCAGGGTCCAAGCCTACCACCAGGACCAAAACTCTACTACCAGGACCCCACCCCTACTACCACGACTGGGCCAAAACTACCAGGACCCCAAGCCAACTACCAGGGCATACACACAGTGAGTGAGTGAGTGAGTGAGTTTGGTACACACTTTCACCAAATTGATATAAAAATGGAAGGAGTGGGTTTTGAGAAGAGACATTTTTGATATCTGGATTTTTATGAGAGCACTTTGATTATTGGTCATCTAATTTGAACAAGGTCTAACACAAGAAGTCGTCCTGAAAATAGTCCTACTTCGTGAGCAACCCTAAAAGCCAGTCGGTACGCAAGATGATCAACCACATATATACATAATAAAATCAACAAAAATTTTGTGCCTTCCAGTGGAGCACTGAACATCTTTACACTTGAAATTTAACAGCTGAATCTTTAAAAACTAATAACTGATGTATGCTCTGTATATACAAAGATTTCATGTAGACATAAATATTTAGGAAATTACAATGTTCACTGAAAATTAGATATAAAAAGTTGAAACAATCTTTGGAGATCAAGTCATTGAACAGCACTAGGGTAATTTAGTTATCAGATTAATGCCAGTTTCTTTTTGTTCTTTTCTCCAGAATTCTGGAGCCAGACATCAGTGTCATCATGGTGGTAGATTCCAGTTGAGCAATGTGTAACAGTACCACAGCTGATGGACCCTGTGTCGATGTCCCCCACGCCTCCATATCATGGCTACAATTTACGCCCTCCCCTGAAAAATAAACATCATCATAGAAGGACCATCTGTATAGGAGAGTCTGTGTAGACAGAGAGTCTGTATAGAAGGAGCGCCAGTAAGGAAGAGTGAGTGAGTGAGGTTAGTTTTACGCCACACTCAGCAATATTCCAGCTATATGGCGGTCTGTAAATAATCGAGTCTGGACCAGATAATCCAGTGATCAGCAGCAAGAGTATCGATCTGCACATTTGGGAACCGATTATCTGCATGGAAGGAGTATCTGTATGGAAGAAGCATCTACATGGCTTGAGTGTCTGCATCTAAGGAGCATCTGTATGGAAGGAGCATCTGTATCGAATGGCCTATTCTACACTAAAAATCCATAGAAACACTGACAGCTACGAAAACTCCAGCTGTGTTAGGTACAACATCCAGAAAATATTTTGAATATGATACAGATAAGATAGCAGTTGATATTATAGCTGTTCTTAGCCGACTGTCTGGAAAGGAGTGAGTGAGTGAGTGAGTGAGTTTAGTTTTACGCCACTCAGCAATATTACAGCTCTATGGCGGCGGTCTGTAAATAATCGAGTCTGGACCAGATAATCCAGTGATCAGCAGCAAGAGTATCGATCTGCACATTTGGGAACCGACTATCTGCATGGAAGGAGTATCTGTATGGAAGAAGCATCTACATGGCTTGAGTGTCTGCATCTAAGGAGCATCTGTATGGAAGGAGCATCTGTATCGAATGGCCTATTCTACACTAAAAATCCATAGAAACACTGACAGCTACGACAACTCCAGCTGTGTTAGGTACAACATCCAGAAAATATTTTGAATATGATACAGATAAGATAGCAGTTGATATTATAGCTGTTCTTAGCCGAGTGAGTGAGTGAGTGAGTTTAGTTTTACACCACACTCAGCAATATTACAGCTCTATGGCGGCGGTCTGTAAATAATTGAGTCTAGACCAGACAATCCAGTGATCAGCAGCATAAGCATTGATCTACGCAATTGGGATACAATGACATGTGTCAACCAAGTCAGCGGGCCTGAACACCCAATCCCGTTAGTCGCCTCTTACGACAAGCATGGGTTACTGAAGATCAATTCTAACCCGGATCTTCACGGTTGGTCTGGAAAGGATGACATGACACCCAGAATGTGATTGTGACAACTCCCGATTTGCTGCAAAACACAGACAGACAAAACCAAATCAATCATGCTTCTCAGTACCCTTCCTGTAGCTCCCTTGTTTGATGCCATGGCGTCTGCTTCTTTGACTGCCCCCTCTGACGACCCTGCCCAGGGATTGTCCAGAAATATGCCAGGAATACTGCTACCAAAGTAGATTTTGCTGTTCGCGGCAATAGACTGGTACTTTAGCATCTCTAGGAACTCAGGGGTTAGTTTTAGCTGGAACACGAAAAGTATTTGTGACTCACTTCTATATTAAAAGTACATTCAACCAGTCCAAGCTGAATTTCACTGGAAAATATCTTGACTATGGTCATCGCAGTGACAGCATGTAAGAACAAGGTAATACAACAATCATTGGTTGCTTCAGAAGAATGCTAACAGGGCTCTTCACTCCCTCAACCTTCCATGGAAACTGTGATCAAAATCTTCTTCAAATGAGTTTTCTAGTTACAGTGTAAAAACGGACAGCTGCACATTAATATCAAGGCCTGACTCAACCTACCTTGTTGGAAACAGCCTCCATCTGAGCCTTGTAGGATTCTGCATCAGCCTTTGCCTTCTCTCGCGCCAAATGGGTGGCATCTACACAGTCACAACAGGATTAGTCTACAACCACATGGTGACAACCAAGAAAAGCATACAATTAGTCTTTTGCCAACAGCATGCAAGAATACAGAGATCAAATTCTAAAATTATGGAAAATCTTTTTCACACTTGTTGGGAAAAGAACTTTACAGGAGAATAATGTTCCTTGCAACAGTTTACTTTATACATTGAAGCATATAACTATGGATATTGGATAACAATTTCTTGTTATCTTAGCTTGCTAATGGTGTAAACATCTTCATCAAAATGTCGCTTTATGCAATAAACAAGAAGCTGTTATCTATAAAGTTGTATGCTTCAATATTGACTGACCAACTTCTAGAATGCCCATCCAACAATGAACAGTTTAGTATATTTGTCATCAACCAGGTGAGCTTACTCTACAGGCAGTTCATTCATCTGTGAAAGAGCCAGTGAGAAGCTGGTGTTTCTCCCCTGAGTGAGCTGACTGTGAGAGGTGAGTAATCTGTGAGAAGATTGTTCCATCTTACCTTCAATCTCAGACATCCGCTTCTCAGACTCCTTCTCCATAACCTTTTGTTCCCACTGAATCTTGGCCACTAAAGCTACCTTCTCTGCCTCTGTTATGGGAATAAAACGTTGTTATAGAAATCGCTATGTGGTGCAGAGGCAAAATGTGCCATCAAGAACGTCACAGGACATTATGATATACATACTTAGTATTCCAAACATGCATTCTCGGTGAGATCATCTTCTTCTTTGAGAGTGAATGACTGTTTTAATGAAATCACTATTTATAGCAAAGCTAAGTTGCAACCTGACAAGTATACATAACTATAAACCCTCAATACCAAACACCAAGTACCATGGACTACCATACCCCATACCCAGGAATTATGGCGGCAGACATACCAATAATGGCCTTCTTGCGTTCGGTCTCAGCCTCCTTCTCCACAACCTTCTGTCTCTGGATGCTGATTAGTAGCTTGGTCTTCTCGGCCTCCCTGCATTGCAAACATCAGTCAACAACATGGATAATTGTGTGTAGATTCTAGTATTGCAATACTATTGCAATAGTTTTTTCTCCTTGAATTGTCTCATTTGAAGTCATTTCCAAAATGAACATATAGTATATATGAAATAGAAACAAGTTAAAGTAGTTTCAGTCAATTTAATAACTGACAAAAAACTTGAAACCCAGATTACGTAAACAGTTAAAACATAAACTCAGTAAAGCTGCAAGTCTGCACTCTAAATCAAAGTGAACAAATTTGGTACTTCCTGTAATTTGGGTGCGCATTTATCATCCGGAGTCAATTACGAAACTGTTGATAGTCACACATACTAACGATGCATCGATAGTTTTTCGTTTCTACCATCGATTAATTGCTATCGGAGACTCAACAATTGCAATGCATCGTTACAGCCCTAGTAGATTCAGCAGAACTGGATTGCAATCTGTTATTTCATTTTGAATAGCAAGAACAGTACAGGTCTGATCAATGTAACTGAAACAATACTTGAAGTGACAAAATATTCACACCAGCTTCACAAAACAGTCTAACTGGCATTGTACTATAACAATATGGAGTGAGCTCACATGGCTTCATAGTTCTTCCTGATGGTTTCTGGGATCTTGGGTTTGGTGACTCGGACGGCTTGTACAGTCAGCCCAGGGGCAAGGGTGTTCAGATCCTCCTGCAGGGCTTTCTTCAGGTTCTCATCAATCTGATCTGTTCAAAAAGCATTATTCATTAATCAGTGGTTCATTGCATCCATTTGTCTAAATCTATAAACATTCTAGATCAAGACCATGGCTCAATCTCGAAATCTCTGATACCATTTGATGGATGGACATTGCCAACACTTGGCCATTACAACATGGAACACGTTTATTACATGAACGATCAGTAAAGATGTGTTGCAACACTCACCGAAGAGATCGATATAGACCTCCTGGAGATTGTGGACGCTACAGAACTGGTTGAGCTCATGATGGATCTTGTTGTAGATGAGAGTCTTGTCATAGTCAGCGGTGTAGTTCTTCACAACATTGAAAACTAAGAATATAAAGTGGGATTCAAAACTACATATAAATATTACATTTCAAAAACAAGCTCCATTTAATAACTGAGTAGAAAAGCTGTGCATAAAAGTAATATGTCTTCAAGGCTTCAAAATGACTGAGTCAAACCAAACACACTTCCTAACAAGAAATGAATCTGACTTCCTAAATTCTTAAAATCATGCTTCCTATTAGATGACATTTGTCTGTTCAGGTTTGTGAACATTTGTCACAGTCATGATATTACCATCATTAATGCCGGTATAACTACCGGAACAACATAAGCTTGTTGAATACAACAGTGTTCCGGGTATTAAGGGCAATTACATTCAAATGCACATAGTACACCATGTCACTATATGCATTGGTTGAGGAACAGTCACATATCATTTATAAGAAACACATAGTGACGGGACAGGTTTGATAATTTAGGACCACGACTTATAAATAGTAAGACCAAAACTGGAAGTACCTGACAATGGTATTAACCAAACCTGAGACAATCAGAGGTCCCATTCTTCACTATATGACATAAACAGTTATGAGGTAAACATTGCCTATTCTTGAGTCCTGTATTGGAGCCATCTTTCATAGTACAATACACAGCACCGGAAGTGGGGAGGGAGTTAACGCCCATTTGAACAGTGTCCCAGTTTCATCACAACATGTCAGCATTATTGAAAAAATGAAAACGCAGTGTGTTGCCACTCTCATATACGGTATACCCTGGTTATAATACTACCGTTTGTCCAAGAGAAAACATGGCATTATATCCAGGGTGGCATTATAACCAGGTGGGACAGTTAGAGGCCCTATGCAATCAACAAGGAGATTGAGCTGATGTCTCCTGTAATGAGCCTTGAATGACCGGATAATCCCAGCATCTAGTGGCTGCAGGTGACTTCTTGTTGTAGGTGGCAGGAAGTGTATTACAAAATTACTTAAAGCATTAATGAGTTTAGTCAATTAATTTGAGTCATGTCAATTAACCATCTAAAGTGTGTATACTTCATGCAGCAAGTGTAATTGGCATTATAACCAGGGAAAAATAACTTTTGTACCAAAAACTATTCGCAAATGGCATTATATCCAGTTTGGCATTACAACCAGGGTATTATATAGGCAGGTAATCCTTTCTGGTAAAATGATGGCGACATTATAACCTTGGGCTTTATATTCAGGGTGCACTGTATTTACCTTGGCTAAAGCCACAGGATTGAAACATAGATTTGTAAGTCTTCACTGTGGGTTGTGGTGGACAAAAGAGAAACAACATTTTGTCACATGTAATGCTAAGATTCAGTAAGAATTCACTCACCTGAGGAAACACTTAATTTATTGACAACTTCAATCCTTTCAAAATATATTATAACTCCTCCGCTGAAAAAGGAAAAAAGGCAGTCAAAGCACTGACTCAGCAGCAATGGTTACTATTAAGGGAAACCTAAGGCAATAAAACCACAATAGTTATTTTTTTCTCATTGTGTTACTGTAGTCAAAGCAACTTTTTTGCAAAGATTAAAAAGTTACCTAAACAAATATATACATCATTCTTTAAACAGCATTTATATTTACCCAGTACTTCAGACACCTACCTGGTACCACATGGGACGTTCTTCACTTCATCTGTCTGCAACGTCGTCTAAACAAACACAGCAATAGGTAAGGTATCACCTACATAAGGCATGTTCTGACCAAATGTATTATCACTTGTTAAACATGTTAATCAAACAAGACAAGACACAAATCTTGTTTCATCAGGAAACCCCGATCTGAAGATGCAAATCAGTAGTCATGACAAAACAGGAGGATGATGCCACACTACTGCAGAAATCAGGTACCATCCACTACCACAATATTCTTGTCACGACACATGTATACCATATTGATAATTACACATCAACTGTTTTGTTCACGTACCTGAACAGATCTGAACATTGTTATGCCAGGAATCTGGAAGTGATAGCCTGGGTCACTTGTTGTACTCAATAAGGCTCCTCCCTGTAACCATGAAAACAGATTTAGAAAAACGCATTCTGAAGGTCAGCTGGCCAGACTAATGTTGGATATCTGAACTGAACTTTTATTTACACCCAGGCTTCTATGTACAAGAACAGGTACAGCAAGAAGTTTATCAGTCCATATGGTACAAACAAAACACTTGAGCCATTTCATTCATTGAAAGTGGTCATAGTCTCAATATTGATCAAATTTCTGTTAAACACAATATGTAGTGAACGTAGTATTGTTATTAAGTCATGACATGGAAAAATCATCAACTTACTCTGTAGTAAACACCAACATGCCCTGAAAAGAAACACAAAGAACATTTTAGGCATATGACTCATTTTAACTCAGTCAATAGGGAGGCTATTGCGGGAGTTACACATCCAACTATAGCATTCTCAAGATGGCATTGTGGCCATGATGTACCTCGGATAGTTTGCTTGTTGTTGTTTTTAGTGCTGCAATTATCCAGTGATATCATGGTTACCTGTGGTTCACAAGGAGTAGACCTTATGGGCAACACCTGACCACAAAAACCTTAAACATAAGAAATTGAAGTGCTGCATGGGTGCGCATGTACCAACCAAGGTCCATGGGGTTTACACCATGTCAATGAGGTTGCAGCTTAATCATGCAATACTTGAATAGTTAGGAACCAAGAGAAACATACAACGGAGGAAACACATACCTTCCTCAATTTTGTGGATGGAGAAGTTGATAAAGATTGCCAGTGCCACACCGACCACACCCAACACCGTCACGACTGTTTGCACCATGTCTCCAGCCCTGCAATATAAATTCGATATTTCAGTCTATAATGCATTTAATTAATAAAATACTAAACCATTGCCACATCCTGGTGGATATAGTTTGTTCCCGATGTTCTCGCCATTCGGAACACAATGACAGAATCCTCACACCTTTGGATCAGAATGACCAAAAATAATTTGCATTTAATACTAATAGAACGTTTGCAGGTTATAAAAGATGTAACAGTGTGAATAAATGTTAACATTTTTCTCTTTTTAGTTATAACCTCACTTCTGTTTAACATTCAACCGCCAATATTCTGAGTCTACTAGTCCTGCAGTAACAGTATATAGCAAGTACGCCTTGGCCCTGACACAGCGATATTCCCGAGATGTTCATGAACAGTCATATACCGACTGAATGAGATTGCTGTCGACTATATACAGTGCAAACCAGCAGATGTTGCAAACATTCTGTTACTTTCGTCACAATCTTATTTTTATACATTAATATATGTGGCTTAACTAGATGACAACAGATATACCGTAACAACCAACCTAACACACTCCAACACGTGTAGAAAGTTCACTTCCGTATTTGGGAAGCAGCGCCCTCTTGTTTCAAGGGAAGATAACTCCCACTGCCTTAAATACTCATAGTATTTGGTTTTCTGCTGGTGCGTACCAGTCCCAGAACCTTAGTATTTCCCCTTCGGCCCAACATTGCCTGAAACACAAACGCTTTAAATAAGCCAGTCTACATTTCCTCAGGTTCTGAATCTCCAGTCTCGCTTGGGCTCCTTTACATATGGAGCTCTTTCCTTCTCTCACAGTTATATCTTGAGCATATTTTCAGAGACTGTAACTAGCGTTATTCCAGTTTTCCTCTAGCGTGACATCGTGGTAAAAATAGCGTCTCAGTATTCCTTAAAGCATGAATAATCTCATTATGATAATACCAAAAGCATACTCAGAACTATATCAGCTTTAGGATGTGAAAATACATGAATCTCTACGAGACAAACGCTTAATTGACAGCGATTGATGGCGCTATGATGTTAGTCAAGCTTCACACTCACCAGACACCTGGTGTCGTCTTGTACCACAAGTATTGATTAATGTTTCAAGCTTGCATCCTCACGGTGGAAATGTCGTCAGTTTAGAAAATATAATTCACAGATAATAATATATATATTGTTTTGACATGTTAAGAATATTAGGTTGATGACAATATTTTCATTAATGGTAAACGGTCTCTGTCGCCTACAGACATGGCATATTTGTCGTTATTGAAACGGTTCAGCTGTCAGAGAAAACAAGGACTATGAAGTTTCTAATAAGCAATATATGTCAAAACCGTCTTAATGATGTTACTTACTGCCTTTATGAGATCTATGATGCTATTTTCAGCTGGTATGTGCATAAGATGTGGTAAACAAATCTAGGTCTCAAATCATGTCAAACCCTTTGTTCAAACTGAGCATGATGAAGGACATGACAGTTCTATAAAGCGAATAGATTCTGAACAAGGAGTGGGTTTTCAGACATGGCGTGCCTAGGAGGGGGATATAGTCAGTCAGGTAACGCCACAAATGGCTGAAAAGAAACAGTTGTAAGTGGGATGAAACTAAAGAGAACACTAGGATTGAGAAGTTGGATTGGTAGGTGACAGATCTAGAAGTTGTAACTGAGGGTGTGACAGAGACACCGATGTCGACATCCACATCCACACGTGTTTGTCAGAGGGAGCAGGTATACAGCAGGAAGTGATGCTTACAGAGAACAATAGGAGCATGGTGGAGGAGAGGAAACGACAGAACTTATTTGAGACAGGTAAAAAGACATAACGTTATGGGAACCGACAGAAAGAAAGGACATAATATTATGGGGACGGACAGAAAGAAAGGACATAATATTATGGGAACCGACAGAAAGAAAGGACATAATATTATGGGGACCGACAGAAAGAAAGACATAATATTATGGGGACCGACAGAAAGAAAGGACATAATATTATGGGGACCGACAGAAAGAAAGGACATAAATAGATCGAGACGGACAGAAAGAAAGGACATAATATTATGGGGACCGACAGAAAGAAAGGATATAATATTATGGGGACCGACAGAAAGAAATGACATAATATTATGGGGACCGACAGAAAGAAATGACATAACGTTATGGGGACCGACAGAAAGAAATGACATAATGCTATGGATACCGACAGAAAGAAATAATGACCGACAGAAAGAAAGGACATAACGTTATGGGGACCGACAGAAAGAAATGACATAATGCTATGGATACCGACAGAAAAATGACATAATGCTATGGATACCGACAGAAAGAAAGGGTATAACGTTATGATCATAAACAGATCGTGACGGACAGAAAGAAAGGACATAACGTTATGGGGACCGACAGAAAGAAATGACATAATGCTATGGATACCGACAGAAAGAAATGACATAATGCTATGGATACCGACAGAAAGAAATGAGGACATAATGCTATGGATACCGACAGAAAGAAAGGACATAATGCTATGGATACCGACAGAAAGAAAGGGTATAACGTTATGGGGACTGACAGAAAGAAATGACATAAACAGATCGAGACGGACAGAAAGAAAGGGCATAACGTTATGGGGACCGACAGAAAGAAATGACATAATGCTATGGATACCGACAGAAAGAAATGACATAATGCTATGGATACCGACAGAAAGAAAGGACATAACGTTATGGGGACCGACAGAAAGAAATGACATAATGCTATGGATACCGACAGAAAGAAAGGACATAAATAGATCGAGACCGAAGGAAATAAAGAAGAGATGGCTAAAACATAAAGAAGGCGTGAGGCGATCAGGACAGGAAGAAGGGAGGGATGAAATTGACTCCTGTGTATATAATTTACATTTTTTCAATCGGTAATTCGCGTCGCCATATAAACACGCATACCGACGTGATCTCTCCCACTGTGGAATATCTAGGTTAGTGCGCCTTAACGTTCTGGCCCCCAACATTCACAACGTTCAGTTGTAATGAAGATAAGACTGACGTATGGGTTCTGGGATATGTACGGAACGTCGACTATAAAGAATCCAGAAATCAATCCAGTCTTATGTGCGTCCACATGCCACGTAACTTCATGAACGCTCATATACAAACACTCTCAATATATGAGTGCATTTGTGTCGCCACACGCTGTGTTTTCCTTTGTTTCATTTTGAGTTGGTTCTTCGGCATTTTGCAGCATGTCACTACCCCTACTAAAGATATAAACGGCATTTCTTCCACATACCGGGAATACATGAATATATATCTTACTGTTTGTTAATTTCGTGACGTGACTGTCGCCAAAAATGGTATACACACACTAAAAGACAAACATTTTGTAATTTTCATTGCTGTTAACCCATTAAACCAACCATAGCTCTATGCTATGCTGGGCGTTTCATTTGCACATCAAACAAACTAAACTCAATATTAAATAACTTGACTGTCTTTATAGTCTGTCGCCAGTTTGTTATTCACGAAACTACGTATCAGCTTTCTTTAGATCTTTAATGGATTTTGGATATTATTTTACAAATATGCGAGTATGATCCATACCTGATATAAAGCTGTAAAACGTATACTGACCGATCCTAAAGGTTTCAGCTCTGTTCATGTTTAAAATAAGCTTGTCAAATATGTGTAGTTCAGGATATATAATATCAGAGTAAGAAAAATACATCCAAATATAACTACATAATAATCATAAACGTGTCGCTTGCATCCCAAGTACACTGTCGTCAGACTCCCCATTGTTCTCGGTGCCCTTGGTTTGGTACATCCTGATCTCTTGGTGCAGATCAGGAGAGTGCCCGGGTTCTCCACCGGGAGCACAGCCCTTCTGACACTCTGGGTAATGTAGAAGGCTGCAGTGTTGGGGAGTCTACATATTCTCCGGAAAGTTCTTGGTGGGTTCGACTAGGCAGTGTTTCCTGGGAGAAGTCCCATTCGCTACCTGGGCTGCGTGTAAAGGGGGCAACGGCCCTGAGCTGATGATGAACCTTACCAGCCTGACTGTGCTAGGATCACTCGAACCCTCTCTGTTGCACACTATCTTTAATCTATAGCATAACAACATTTTGATCATTTTGGTAATGGTCTTAGAAAGAAGCAAATATCACGATACATTTTGGAATGTTTAATACATTAATAATAATAATGGCCACAGATTGTGCATGCTCAAAGGCCAACACAATTGTACCCCGGATAACACAGGCGCGAGAAATAAATAAAATAAACAGATGTTCGCTTGACTATGATACAGGACCGAAGTCCTAATGCATTTGGAGCTCTTGCACAGGACCACAGCACAACACAGATTTGTGGAGTCTTGAACTTCTAATGTATAATAATGGTCATTTATAATAGGCTGATTGTGAACTATGGCTTGAGAACTGTGCATGTAGACAGATAGAGAAATGTACGTAACATATTTGGTATAGTACATTTCACCAGACTGTCGAGTTATTCATGGACGTATATCTCTTGCATAATCTTTAATATTTTTAAATGCTTTTGGCGATTAAGTAGTTTGCCGATTGGACTAGACAGATGTATCGATGCAATTGTGTATTTGCGTCTTAAATTCAAGTGTTAACAATAGTGATGAGTGTCGTTTTATATATGTTCCTTTTCGAAGTTACTATTTCTATTCTAGGGAAGTCTTTAATTGAAATGTGCAGAATGGTGGTGTGTAGTCTTGTGCTTAGAGCACAGGTCACAAATCAAAGCCACCGCCTTCGTGGTGTAGTGGTTAGAGCGCCCGCGGAAGGTCGCAGGTTCGATCCCTGACCGCGTCATACCAAAAGACGTTAAAATATGGTACTTGTTGGTCCCTGCCTGGCGCTCGGTATTAATGGGTACAACAAGGACTGGTCGGCTCGGAGTCGGTATAATGTGTCTGAGTGGGGTATTCATGCTTCACTGCGGCGTGGTATCTCAGTGGGCTAACACTATAAACCAGCTTAAATCTGGGCTAGTACAAGCAGCCGCACATACACATACACGCGCATGCACGTCGTCATATGAGCGAAATATTCTCAAGCACGACGTTAAACCCAATTTCACCTCACCTCACCTCACAAATCAAAGCACGTTGGTCACGGAGGGTCCTTGGATGGGTGACCGTGTTTTGCTGCTTGACTCCTGACAGTTTCTTCGACTTCTGTCCTGTCCCACAACGAAGCACACATGACACATGTGGTCTCTCCCTAGGTTAGTGAGTTTGTTTAAAATTGTCTCTGTTTACCCAGGAGACAATGAGTACGCCATGGGATAAGTCATATGACCATTAACATTCTAGCGCCTCACAGGCACCTTGGGTTATCTGGGGTCATAATGTCTACCATGTTGTATGCGGTGTGG